GACGAAAAGTTGTTGAATGTCAAGAAAATGAATTACAGAACTAATACAAGACCTTTTTTTTTTAATGTTATAAAAGAAACTTCAAGTACGCAAAATAAGTCAACAGGGATAAAAGTTATAAGGCTTATTTGTAATGAATTTTTCTATATTCGATAAGAATTCAACATTATCTTGTAATGAAATTGAAAACATGATGTTTGAGTCAAATATTCTTTCCTAAATATAGAGAAAGAAAATGGAATTTTAGTGCTCTTATGTTATTAATGTCAATGGATATGTTTAAATTCAAACAATAAGACGAATCATCAATATATAAATCATTAAATACCTGAAAACATTTATTGAAATCGGATAATATGGTGGGTTATATTCACATTGACTCCTAGATAGTCAATAATATGTTTCGACTTCATTTAAGTTTCAGCTAAAACTTTTGGTTTCTTATTATTATCTGTTATGACTACCTAAAATACCAACTAATTGGTTAACATTAATTATCATAGTCGAAAGACGTTGTTCGTTCACAATTTCATTTCTAAACACGCTCACGATTCTTGATTCTTAAAACGTTGGTGATTTTAAGTAAAAATGAACATGAATGTAATATTCCCAATAATGCATAAATAATTGGATCTCTTTGAGAGTATTAACACAACTATTAATAAGCTCTCCAATCATGATGATAAAATGTTTGTCGGAACATGTATTAAGTTCTGCATTTTTCAAACGGTTACACGACTATTTCTTTCCACATGCGTTTTAATGCTAAAAAGTTATGTTTTTATCTTCTTGGGTCATATCTAATTTCTGTTGGTACCAAGACGGCTCTCCCTATGTCCGCATCAAACATATTTTTTATGAAATGATAAAAATATTCCACAATTTGTGAAAACAATTTTAGTTTTAACTATATTATATACGACTTAAATATATCCAAAGTTATTCACGTCAGCAAGTCGAAACTTGTTGAATTAATCGGTCGTATCAAAATGACAAATTTGTAAGGGATTAGAAAAAGAAAAACAATTCACCTGATTAACAACATTGACCCGTTCCTTAGACTAAATAAGCCACGATTTTAGAATAAATTTTATTCTTATTGAATAATATTTTTTCTTTTATATTGAAAGAGAAGCAACGAAAATGTAAAACAAACAAAAAAAAGAAACCGATTAAAACTGAACTCGCAAGCAAAAGAAAAAAAAGATTGACTTTTATATTATTCCACATTATTGTGTATTTTATCGATTTTCAATTGTTTTCGATTTGATGAATTTTGTGTATTTGATGAAAAAGCTGATTTACGTTTAAATGTAGCCGATAATGAAGAATCTTTTGTATTGGAAAGACTATTATCGAGATGATTATCTTGTTGTGTAAAAATCGTTTCAATTGCTGTTGAACTTTCTGATGGTGATGTTTGAATGAACGATGATTTTTCTGTTAGTATATCAGTAGACTGTTGAACGAGACCTAATGTATTAAATAATTGTTTTTCTTTACCAAACGATGTTACTGTTTGTGATTCATCGGAAATTGTTGAATTGCTATTAACACAAGTCGATGGTGATGGAGTTGATTTTTTAGTTACAATTGGTGAAGATGGTGATGTTTGATTAGAATTTGAATTTCGACTATCAAGATCATAAGGACGGAATAGTTTTAATTTTGGTTTAGAAAGATGTGATGATTGCTAATATAGAGAATAATTAAAAGTTATTCTATTCATAAAATTAAAAAAGCATACCTCAGATGATTTTTTATCAGTATTTTCTTGTATTGGTATGCTGAAAAATAAAAGAAATTAATTAATTTTCTTTTTGATATATGACAAAGATAAATCTTACCGTATTGTTGTATCAGTTGTTTTGATATTTGGCAACAAAAATGGAGCTGGTTGTGTTAGTCTCGTTTGTTGTGTAGGTAATTGTAAATATGTAGGTGGATGGAGGAGACTAGATAAATGGGGTACCATAAATCGATAAGGATCAGTAATATCAAGACGCCTGTTAATAAATAAATAATTTTACTCGATCGAATATATTTTTTTTGCTTTGTTCACCTGTTTAATATAGGTAAATTTATGTTAGGACCATTTGATCCACCATAGACTCGTAGATAACGTCGTCGCATATCTTCTCTTCTTTCAGCCTACAATCAAAAGATTTCAAATATTTTTCAAATATACAAAGTACAAATACTTCATGCATATATTGTGTATATAGTCGTAATGTTTGGTCAGGTAATATTGAATTATTTACATGATATGGAATCATTCGATTCGGAAAATCTATTGATGATTGAACAAGATTAGAATTTCCAATATTATTTGAATCTACTAAAGAAAAAATAAAATTTATAATTGAAGACTTCATATATATATATCTATTTGTGATATGTTGATTTACTATTTTTATTTTTTTCTTCTACATGTTCAGCGAGTCGTTTAAGTGCATCAGCAAAACTATTTGTAGTTGTGGGTTTAATACCAACAAATGATGGACTTGATGATGCTGACCAACTAAATGACATCTAAAATGATTAGACTATTATATTTCTGTGTATTGTAATGATAAATCTGATCAGCTGATTTTCTTTATCGGCATCAATTATAGATTATATAATTGTCGTTTTGTTGATGATTTAGTTCTACTTACCTTTCTTGTGCATATGTTCGTGAGATACACTGTTCTGTGCGTCAAGTTTAAATGTCGGACGTGGTATGTGTGTTAATGAGCGTAAGAGGTGAATGGGAAAAGGGCATCACGACACTCAAGTTCTGTTGTTCGATAGAGAAGCAACATAGCAATAGGACAACGAACAAAATTATTTCTCTAGTGTATATATATATATATATATATATATATATCTATCATAGTACCTATTTTTTTATGCCATAGTATAATATCGAGAAAAAGACAGTACAACAAAAAAAAAAGAAAAGAGCCGTTCGTGTTCTTCTTCTTAGACATCAAATAACAAGTTTAAAGTTAAAAATTAAAATGTTTATATCTACATATAATAGATATATATTATCTCTAGAATTAAACACTAGTCTCATAAGTAATGATTCTTATATAGATTGAAAGAGACTTATATAGTCTTGAAATTGAGTCATATGTTAGAGAGACACGCGTCATCGCAATAAACCAAAAAGAATAACGTGCAAAGTGTGGCATTCTGTTGATTTTTGCCATCTTGTCGATATATGTGCTATCACCGATCACACATACTGACCGTGCAGTGTATCGATTAGACGGATAGAAGGCGACAGAGGCAGAAATTGAGAACAAGAAAGGGTAGAGAGAGAGAGAGAGAGAGAGAGAATGCAGTCAAAAGCTAGTTCTACACGTTGAAGACGCCCAAAAAAAAAGCGAATCGAGAACCCTAAAATTGTTTCAAGACAATCTACGCATCACACCTGGCTTGGACAAAACAAAAAGAAAACTAAATATGATTGATCTCATGTCCAATGCCAGATGTTACTTACTCTTATTCAAGCAGTAGTTTAGTCTATTGAACATATATACTTATATTTTATATTGAATATGTGTGAAACGGAAATAGGCATCTGCTTGTTTAAGAAGACTTTTTTTCAAGTGTCTTTCTATACTTGACAAGAAAATGGAAGCATGCACTCACTGCCGAAACGATTTAATGCATCATCAATATTTCATGCACACGTACACATACAATAAAAAAAAGGGTGCGAGCAATGAACGCCACTTTTATTTTTTTGCTAACTATATTTGTGCGTTTTCTTCTTCTTCTTCTTTCCGGCCCACTCACTCGCTCGTTCACTTGCTTTCATTTCTTGTCGCCAATCGATAGTTATTAGAAAAGAGACAGACACATAGACAGAAGATCGAGATCGACAAGTTGATTAAATAAGAAGCAAGAAAGAAATTAGTCTGAGTGAAATAAGTGAGAGAGAGAGAGAGAGAGAGAGAGAGCATTGACATATTACAAGTATTACCAATACAAAGATAGATAGAATAAAAGCGAACTACTAGACAGTGACATAAGTTCTCATAGGCGTTGAACTCTTTAATATGGCCATTTGATTGATAGAATGTACAAGAAATATTGAACATATGATTCATTAGAAAGAAAAAAGATTGTACATTTGAAATCACTGAAAAATGAAAATAACTCTTATTGTTTATGCGACATTATTATTATTATTATTAAAACACCACTGTTTATACTTCTAATTATGTTATAAAAAATAATGATACGCTTCTGTATTCAATCTAAACAAGTATATGAATGTTCAGTAAATTTTTCACGATGTAGAAGCAGCCTCTTGGTATGATTGGCTTATCATAATCACTTTCATTTTGATAAAATGGAATCGAGATGCCATACTTACCTTTAAATAACTCATATGACTCGAGATTAAAATAAAATACGAATGATTCATAAAATAATTCTATTGAATTATATGAATATACAGGAAAATTGTTAGTTAAACGCATTATGGATTGTTTATTTCAAGAAAGAGAAACTTTTTATAGACTACAATAGCCTGACTTTTAAATCTGATATAGTTTTCATTATATTATAAACTCAACATAAGAATATATTTCTTACGGTTAGATAAAATATCAACAATCATCGACTTCAAAATTAATTATTATTCTTTTTTTCTTTTCTTAATAACAACATTTCTCGGAAATAGTTCTTTTCAAATTTATGGCATTATTAGAAGGATAGATACAACGAAGACAATTAAATTGTAAAAAAAAAAGAAGAAAAAAATTTCATAATATTCATATTAACTAACAATAATCGATAATGAACTTCTCTTGTAATATGATTATCTATATTGATTGTATGTTATTCTCAGATGGAGTTACTATAAATTTCGCCAATATGATGATCAATCCATAGCAACGTATATTTAACTTTATAAATGTCTGAAGAAAAAAAAAGCCTGGCTGAATAGAATAATAAAACATATTATTTTATTTTTTTGTTTTGATTAAAACTATAACAAAATGGCAGATCGAACAAGAGTTCCAAATATGTTGGATACTTTTATGTATTATAATAAAAATCCTACACCACCATTTCCTGGTAGAGATTTTCATTACGTTTTTTTTTTGTAAATGTCCTTGATTATTAACAAATCATCTTAGGATATGGAGTACCACCTACCTATCTTCCAAATCAAACAAATGTTCAACCATATGTTGCTCAAGTTGGACTTGATCCTTGGTAGTTGAGAAAAATCTTTTTTTTAAAAGATAAATAAATTGTTTCTATGTCTTTCTAGGCCGGTTAATGTACCAGCTTATCCTCAGGAATACGAAACACATTTTCCTCTAGGTTAGATATCTTATTGTACCCCTTCTTCTTAATTTCTATAACCACCTCTATAGGAACTAATTATTGGTGTACACCAGAATATAAATTAACTCCGAACAATCTCAATGCTAGTGAACCAACATTATTGATACGTGAAAATCGATCTAAACCCGGTGTTAAACTTGCTTTTACAGAAAAAGGAGCTGAAAGTGATCCTCGTGTATTTCGTTCTCGTTATGGTACATCAGCAGATGTTCCAGCTCGACCATATTATGCTCAACCATGGCTTATTGATGAAATTCGAAAAATCAAAAATTAATAATAATGACAATTCAAATACATTCATTTGTTTAAAACTTCTTTTCTTTTTTTGCTTCACTTAGAGAATTAAGACAGACGACAATACAATCACATACAGAGAAAATAATAATAATAATAATAATAATAATAAAATCATAAATAATGTCTAGTATTCGCCCTCTTCTTCACCTTCAGCCGGTGCTGTATCAGCTCCTACTTCTTCATAATCTTTTTCTAACATTGCCAAATCTTCACGAGCTTCACTAATTTCAATAAAAAAAAAAAAAAAACACTATAAAATAAAATCAAATTGATCATTTTTCATCATACCTGAATTCACCTTCTTCCATACCTTCACCAACATAATGATGAACAAATGCTCGTTTTGCATAGAGTAAATCAAATTTATGATCAAGACGAGCCCATGCTTCTACGAATATTCAAAGCAAAAAAATCTATATCATATCAGAAACAAACAGAAAAACATGAATATTTTAATTTACCAGCAATAGCTGTTGTATTTGCCATCATCTAAATTGATCAAATAAAAGTCTTTTGTTTTGTTTTTTTTGTCATCTAAAACTTATCTTCTTACACAAGCAGCACGTTGAACTTTAGCTAAATCACCACCAGGTACAACTGTTGGTGGTTGATAATTAATACCAATTTTAAAACCTAAATTTTAAAATTAAAGAAAAAAACAACCATACAGAAATTTGCTGATAATTCTCACCAGTCGGACACCAATCAACAAATTGAATATTTCGATTAGCTTTCAATGTTGAAATAGTAGCTATTATAAAAAAAATAAAACTATTATCTCAAACATACTAAGAAAAAAAAAACTTTTACCATTAATATCTTTTGGTACTACATCACCTCGATAAAGAATACAACAAGCCATATATTTACCTAAATAAATTATTTTAAAATTTAAAAATTATTTTTTTAATATTCTGATTATTTACCATGTCTTGGATCACATTTAACTAATTGATTACCAGGTTCAAATAGAGCTGATGTCACTTCTGATGTTGTTAATTGTTCATGATAAGCTTTTTCAGCTGATATTATTGGTGCATATGTTGTTAAAGGAAAATGAATACGTGGATATGGAACAAGATTTGTTTGAAATTCAGTTAGATCAACATTAATAGCACCATCAAAACGAAGTGAAGCAGTTATAGATGAAATAACTTGTGCCTAAATAGAATATATATATATATATTTTTTTTCTATTAATTATTTTCTTAATTACCATTATACGATTAACATTTGTATAAGTTGGTTTTTCAAGATCAAGATTTCGTCGACATACATCATAAACAGCTTCATTATCAATACAAAAACAACAATCTGAATTTTCGAATGTACTATGTGTAACTAAAAAAAAAGAAAAAGAAGAAGTAAACATCTGTAATTAAAATATGAAAAATTAAACTAACTAACCGAGAATAGAATTGTATGGTTCTACAACTGCAGTTGCTATACGTGGAGCTGGATAAACAGCAAATTCAAGTTTAGATTTTTTTCCATAATCAACAGCCAATCGTTCGACAAGTAATGAAGTAAAACCTATTTAATAAACAAATCTTTCGATTTATTTTTCTTGATTAAAAAAATACAAACAAACAAACCTGAACCAGTACCACCACCAAAACTATGAAAAACAAAAAATCCTAATAGACCAGAACATTGATCAGCTAATTTTCGAATACGATCAAGTACTAAATCAATAATTTCTTTTCCAACAGTATATCGACCTCGTGCATAATTATTTGCTGCATCTTCTTTACCCGAGATAAGTGTTTCAGGATGAAATAATTGACGATAAGTACCCGTTCGTACTTCATCTATTCAACAAGAAAAACTAATCTATTAATTGATCAAAATAATTCCTACCAATAACTGTTGGTTCAAGATCAACAAAAACTGTTCGAGGTACATCTAATCAATATTAATATAGATAACTTAAATATAAATTTTAGCAAATTATATCTCACATTTTCCAGCTCCTGTCTCAGCAAAAAATGTTTGAAATGAATCATCACCTGATCCAAGAGTACAATCAGTTGGCATTTGTCCATCAGGTTGTATACCATGTTCAAGACAATATAATTCCCAACATGCATTTCCAATTTGTACACCACATTGACCAATATGAATTGAAAGACATTCACGCTAATTCAATCGAACATTGTTTTTGAAATCAATTTCGAATATTTCTACTTACCATTGTAGAATTATTTCCCAAAAAACAATAGATAAAAAGAAAAATTCAGATGATGCTTTTATTTGATTAAATCAATGATTTTGTCTAGATTTAATGTAAATTACTTAATGTTTTAGCGCGCCTTTTTTCTTTTAGTTAGTTTTACATAAATGATTGATTAATGAAGTTTTTTCTTTTTTGCAAACGATGAAACATAAATTGAATTCTTTTTATTTTTTATTTTTGTTTAATACTCGAAATAAATATTTTATTCAAAAAACTAAATTAAAAAAAAATAGAAATATTTCCTAGAAAGTTTTTTTCTTATTTCCAAGCCATACATGTAATGCATATTGACTATCCCATAATGAACAATATCTTTTTAAACATGTTAAAGATTGAATAAATTCTTCACGATTAATTGTTAATATTTGTGCATATTCAAATGTAACACTTGTTAAATGTTCAACATGTTCAAGAATATATTTAATATCATCAATATCTTTTACACGAATTTTTAAATATTTTATATTTGATGATATTATTGAACAAATTGTTTCCATACGTTTCATACAATTATCTGGTGTCCAATAATCAAATAATAATAATGAATGAAGATTTGGTGTTTTATTCAATAATATATTTATATTTGCAACTGTATTTAACATATATTCAGGAATAAAATTAACAGATAATGATAATTTTGTAATATGTGAAAGATCAAGAATAATTGAAAGAACTTGTAATGAACTTTGTGGCCATTCACTAGTATTTTCAATTGTAAGATTTGTAACATTACAAAATAAGACATGAGTTGATGATTCGTTCTTTAAAAAGACAAAAAAAAAGAGAATTGTATTAAAATAAATAATAAGACAATCATGAACATATTTATTCACCTTACTTCAACATTAAGATTTTTTGTACTTGTACCCCCTTACAGCATATCTGAAATTTTTTTTTCTCTTTGTTTTGAGTAAAACATATCATATAAAATAGATTTCATGGTACTCTTTAATTTCTGCATTATTAGATAAAGAATATTTGAATATTCATTTAAAATTTGTTTTCAAACGTTTTGAATATTATATAAGGCCAGTAGCCGATCAAAAACAAAGAACAAAGTGCTTATTCATATAGGCTCTAATTTTTTGAAAATCTACTCTTCTCACGTATCGAAATGATTCAGACAAAAACTAACATGATATTAGTAATCCACGCTGTCAAGGCTATATTTTAGCATGTGTTTGATTCAAAACAAAGAACAAAAAACTTCCACGTGCACAGTAAGAGAATACGTGTGCAAAAAATCTCAATATCAAAGTAAGGTAAATGAGTATATCCACAGGTGGATGGCTTATTATGATGAGTGACTTGTATTTTTCCAAACTATTTTAGAAAAAAAAAATGCCCTTATTGATCGTAATCATATGACTTTGAAAATATGTTGATTCATTCTAGTCTATACATTTTTGAATTTTCAAATAAAACAAAAGATTAAAGTCGATTTAATATTCTTAAAATTCAGAGAATTTTATATTTGTATATTAATTACCTCTATTTTTGATAGATAATTCAAATCTTTTGTTAATTGTAATTGTAATTTTTGTACATTATCCATATCAATTTGATTAATTCGTGTTGTAAAATTTGATGAAGAAATTTTTTTCAAATCAATATGATATACAAAACGAGTATTACATATTGGTAGAGTATATAACATAAGTTTATGTGAATTAATAATATAATCACAAGTAATAGAACAATCCATATTATCAAGCCAAAATGATGTTCGAAATGAATTCATAAGAATTTCAACATTACGAGAACGATAGTTATTATGTGTTAAAATTTGAAGAAAAAATTCGAATTTTTTTAATGAATTTAGTTTTCGAATAATTTTTTCCAATTGACAACCATCAAATGATGAATTAAATAAAGATCCAGTACCAGTTAATTTTAGATAGGTTAATGAAGGTGTTAATGAAAGACATAGTTCAAGTGTATCGATATTTATAAGACCATTTTCGAATATTAATGATGTCAATTGTTGAAGTGGTGCTACATATACATAGTTTTCATTATCATGTATTTCAACTTCTTTTACAACAAGAGTTCGTAAATTAGGAGAATTTTGAAGAATAAGACAAAATTGTTTGAATGTTAAACTGTTAATAATTTGAATATAGTGTAATGTACGATTCATAGGCCATTTAATATCATTCCAATCTTTAGTCCATATACTCAAATGAAGATTTTCAAGACTATGATGAGCTATAGCTGATGATAGAAGAGATGGTATTGTATTTTCACGAGCATGTACTATTTGTGTACTAATTGAAAGAGTTTTTAATGAAGAAGTAATAACATAATTTGCAATTGAATTTAAATGAATTTTATTAATTTGAAGAAGAGTTAATGATTGAAGTCGAATAAATTTTTCAATAGAAAATAATGAAAGAAATAATTGAATTTGACCACGTGTTTTATCTTCATCGGATAATGTAAGTGAAATAACATTTTCAAATGGTATTAATTGACAAATAACATAAAAATATGGTTTAGATATTGATTTAAAATTAAAATTATATCGATCATATGAATTTGTTATTGAATAAAAACGTTTACAAACATAACGAAATGATAGAACAATAGTTTGAATATCAAGATAATCAAATATATGATAAAGAATTTCAACAGGTAATGTATCAAGAGGTGAATTAGACATATGTAATTGTATGAAGGTCTATCATATGATTATTTAACCTAAGAGCATAAAAAAAAGTATATTTTCTTTCTGAGGTCAATAAGGACAGAAAAAAAAGATAATAGATCGAGCTATTTTTTTTTTGTATAATATAAAAATTTGTTTTTTTCTTTTTGTTCATGAAAAGCCAAACGCACAGTAGGCATTAATTTGAATGCATAAAATATTAGATTGAATATATCTAAACTATTTTATATTCTTCTCTGAAGATTTTTATATCTGCCATATGATATTTAATTTGCTTACTTTATTTTCCGAATAGGTTATTGCGTTCTATGACACATATGTCATATAAAGTGCTATCGTGAGAAAATAAATAATGTAATATTTTTTCTCATAATACTTTTACGAGAAAATAAGTGTAAATTCTGATCGAATATGTTAGGAAAATTTTACATGTTGATTGTCGTAAATGAAGAAAGAGAATTACGAACATATTTAAACTTAAATAATAAGAATTACTATTTATTTTCTATTTGGAGTAATTAGAAGAAATACCTTATCTTTCTGTTACTTTGCACTATAGGATACTGACTGGAGTTAGTTTCGTAGATCCGATATTTTTCCTAAAAGCAATACTGCAAAGTAGCCGAACTCTGACTTCTATCGTTAAATCATTTAAGCTTCTCGTTGACTAAACACATATTACTAACAGAGGTCGGTGTTTGTTACAACGTAATTACCATGCTATCGAACAAATGTTCCTAGACAAACAGCTGTTAATGATTAATCTCGAATCTTTCTATTTCTGAAGTGCTGAAATTCAAACACAATATCTTGAGGGCATATATCGAACAACTTAACTACTCAGCCATGCTGACTTTCGAATCATTAATAATTTATAAAGTCGAAGACAAAGTTGATATGAAACATTGTAATTCTGAGTACAAAACAATAGATTTATCTTATCTTCAAAATATGATGGTTAGCGTTTGAATATATGTATGATATTGAAAGAATTCATTAGCAGACTTATTTTTACTTCTCAATGATTCTCTTAACAGATTCTCAAATAAAAAAAAATATCAACTTTAATTTCTGTAGAACTATTATTATTATTATTATTGAACCTCTTGTTTATACATTGAATATATACGTAAGTAAATATCATTGTTTTCGTCAAAAATGATAAGTTTTTATCTTGAGAAAGAGAGTCTCTTTTCTTTTTGTTTTCTATCTTCTCACAGAATGAATATAGAAAAGAATTATTTTGAAAATATTGCTATAACTGTGTAAACAAAGAAAACTTTTGTTTAATTCTATTTCAGTTGAAACACAAGTTTTACCTTCTTTATTAAATCTTTCAAATTGCAACAAAACCTTTGAATGATCACTATGAAAATAAGCAAAATTTAAATAGTTCGAGTTGATTTTCATTGTTATATTCAATATCATATACAAGCGTTAATATAAAATAGTTCTATCAATACGTTCTTAGAATCTTTTCCATAAGTAATAAACCTAATATAGTAAAATGAAAATTCTATATTAATATCGAAGATGAGTATTTTAACATTAGATATGCATCTAAGAAGACTGGTGTTAACACTTTTCTTAATCGTCTAAAAACGTACCCATCATCTAAAAATATGAAGTCATTAATATTTGATAGTTAGAATATATCTTTATCAACATTACTTAATGTAATTAATGAGAGATTAAGATTCATCGCATGACATGCTAGTCTTAAAGAATCCTGAAGAATTATCGACAATGGGTTAGAAGGTATACAAACACACTCACGACGAAATTTTATCCGACCACTCGTTAAGAATCGTATTCGAAGGAAAAAAATACTCAAACTATTTCTCGAATCTTTTTTTCATGATTTTTTTATTAGTTATATCTTCTAGATAACATTTCAATTGTGTCTTACAACGAACAAAAACAAGACTATGAAATAATTCTTTTTTTTTTTTCTTTTCAAATCGCATGCATATTTTTATATCGATATTTAAATAAGATGTATACATGTGTGTATAAAAAAAAAAAGATAATAAGATAGAAATACAAGTTGAGAGAGAGAAAAAAAAACCAGAAACAACACAACAAATATCTAACAAATAAGCTGATTATTATTATACAAAAAGAACGAAAGAAGAAGAAAAAAAAAGCAAAATGATATTGTTTATCTGACAAAAATTTTTTTTCTCTTTTTGTTCATTCGATATTACTTGAAATAATAAAAAAAGCATTACGTAAAACACTCGATGGAAAACATGTTTCAAGTAAATCACGTGTTAAATATGGACATTGATTAACAAATTTTTCAAGTAATATATATGTTGCTTCTTTATGTATAATATCATTTGATAAACCATTTGAATTATTTGATGTTGAATTATTATTTGTATTTGAATATTTTGTATTTTGTCCACAATCAACATCAATTAAACGTAATAAACTTGAAGATGCTAATGCAAGAAATTCTTTACAACGATCTTCAATATGTCTTTGACCATGTTCAAAAAAAAATGTTGTTATTAATGTATTTATAGCACGTATTAAACAATGACAATTATTTGCATGTGCATCTAATGCAACAATATATTTTGTTGATTCAAGTCTTGCTAAACGTGGTAATGCAACAGCTATATAAACCATAATTAAACATGAAAGTATATATTCTTCAGATTCATTTGTTGTTGATGTTTGATCTGTATTATTATTATTTGTAGTATTATTAATAGAATTTTTTTGATTTATTAATGCTTGACATAATGTTGAATCAATTATTGTTGATGTACCTGTTGATGATATCATTTCATTAATAAGTAAATGATGTTGTGGATCATTTGAAAATGTTGTTGTTTTATATTGTGAATAAAAATGTTCTAATGTAATCATTAAAAATGGCATACGTTTATTTAAAATATCTTGTAAAGCTTCTTCAATAAGACTTTTTAATTGTAATAAAACACCAATTAATATAACACGTTGTAATAATAAATCAACATGTTCAAGTTGTTTTAAATAAAGTTTCATTTGTGTTGGTTTATCAAAATTTATACGAAGATTATTTAAAAGATCACGTTGACTATGAGTTAATTTTCTTATTTCATTTATTTGTTGTACACAACGATAAAGTATCATTTCACATAAATATTTACAACCGTCTAAAATAAAAAAAAAAAAACCAAAAATTCATAATCAAGATTAAGTTCAATCACAATATTCATAGTTTTACTAGTATTACATATAGATAAAGAACTTATATCGAAAGTACATAATAGATTCGAAAATGCAATTGATTTTTATTAGAAATTTCGTTTAATCGAGTATTTTATCTAGATTTTCTCTTTCGAAAAAGCAATTTAAAATTCCGAAAGAATAAACGCTCAATTTTTTGAAGCATAGACACATCGTACGTGGTACTATAAAGCCGATCTTTGGAAGGATGTCACCTTCATGCTGGCTAAAACATTGGTGTGATATAATAAATTCAATAAAATTTAGTTGTAATTATTTTTCGAATGAATTTTTAAGTTAATTTTCATTGTTGAAATTTTTAAGCAGAATTTTATTATCAATTGAATTATATGAGGTCAAGTTTCTTTTTTTTGTCTCTTTCAACTATTGAATTTAACTTTTTTTAAAATAATATAAAAATTAAATATAAATAAAATCTTACATGGTTTAATTAATTCTACTAATGCTCTTAATTCATTAAATGAAGCATATTCTTCAGGATCAAATGGTAATGTTAAATCTTGTTGATGAATACTAACAAATGATCGACGAATAGGTGAATAAACAATTGTACCCATTGTAATACGTTTAACAAGTACTTCAAGAAACCAATGTGTATATAATGATGTTATTGTTTCATTTCCTGCACTATCTAATGGTTGACTTTGTTGTAAAAGTACTTCATTAAAAATTCTTGTTGTATCTATTTGACAATGTGATTCAACTAATGTTAAAATATCCATATAAGATTCAACAGATGATAATAATTCAGATGGTTTAGCTATTTCCATAGCTGGTGGACGATAATTAACCATTTCTGATAATGATTTATTAAAACGATTTTCTAAATGTGATATTAAATATTCATTTGGTAAAAATTTATGTTCCCATATGGTTATTTGTTTACGATATGATATTGAAAAACATAATTCATTAAGTACCATCATTAATTTATCAGTTTTTGTCATATCACGACGATTTGATCGACGTGATTCATCACCTGGTAAGGATAATTTAATAGATTGAGCATTTGAACCAGTTGTTGAATCATGTTTAGATGATGAACTATGTTTTTTAGATAATTGTTCAGCTGGAATCTTTTTTCGTAGACGAGATATAACTGCATTTTTAGGTAAAAGCTAAAAATAATAATTTTATTAATAAATTATGATATGATAAAAGATTTTATCTAAATGTTGCCATACTATTGTCTTCTAGACAATCATAGAACTTATTCGACGCACCACATTAGGTACAATTTGTTTTTTTTTATCCAGATCTTCTTATGAGGAAAAAAAAGGTTGAAAATACATAGAAACTTTAAGTATTTTCATGTGTCTATACGGAAAGATGGAAAAGAATTAAGCCTATTAGAACGAAATACATGCATCTAGTATCTAATTTTCAAGACTATCTTATTTTTCTCATGTCATAATAATATTATCATATTAAAATGCAAAATAATTATATATTTCTTTTAAATCATACCTGTTCATTCATAAGAAAATATTCATTAGCTATTTCTGACACAGTACTTTTTATTTGTTTACATATTTCATCAATAAAAGCATGTGCACTTTTTAAACTTAAATCTCCAATTTGTTGTCGTTCTTCAGGACATAATTCATGTGTTGCATTTATAAAATGTTGACATATTAATGGAAATGCAATAGCATAACGTATTTGTGATGGATAATAAATACATGATGAAAATAAATGATCAAATTGTGTTAAATAAAAATAAAATATTGATAAATCACTTGTTTCATATA